TTCTTGTCTCAATATAGTTTATATACAAGTAATATTTTGGAATATAATATCTCTTTTTATAATTGTCATATGTTATTTGATGAACCTGCAGTACAGTGTAGTTTACTGGCAGCCCTTGCGAGCGTGAAGGATGAAGTAGTGCTTGTACTACGTAGTAATCATTAACGCTTTACCCATTTGAGCATGACCACTTGGTTACCGGTACTGCGTTAGTACTAGTAAGGACTTGCGGTTGTCGTTGATGTGCAGTCTCTAGTTACGCTGTACCTATCCTATCATCGTTATTTTAATTACGTGAAGCAAGCTTGAAATTTGTATGCAACAATTGTATTAATTCCTCAAATATTTCTGTGTCCGAAGCTCTGTCCGAATGGTTTTCACGTCCGAGTCGTTATGGTATGGGAGGAGATCAGTACATGTCTTCTGTTTTTATAATTTCAAATTATTAAGGAGATTTCGCAATGAACGATATCGTTCTCTTTCCGCTCAGTCGAAAAAACCTCTATGATCAAATTCCGGAACGACATAACCTGTCTACAATTGATGCATATTTGCACAAATTGGCTGGCTGAACGATAGTCTGTCCTTCAAACAACCTCTAGCAATGCATCAACATGTATAAACTTTCAAAGCTGACACTGTATATAAATTTTCGCCTTGTGGCACTTCTACTGTATTTCCATACTACCTCTGTACCTCTGTCCCGGTTTAAGTGCAACAATGACAATTCTTGAAGTTCCATAATAATTGCAACAATTGTACTACTGTTTCAGTTGAATAAACACAATTCATGACAATACAAAATGCAAGATATTATTATTCAATGTTTAAATCCAGAATTCTCGAGATATCAACCTCGTCGTCGACATCGTCCACTTCAAGGTCAAGCTGTTCCAATTCCGTGCAAAACTCACTCATAGCTAAGTCCTTGGCTACGTCGTTGGCCAATTCAATAATCATATTGGAAAGGTCGCAATCACTCAACAATCGCATACCATCATTGATGGTACCAACGTCAACAGCCACTGACACAGGCAATTGCCCTCTCGCCAATAACGCTGATTTCTTCATGTGGGGAATCTTGTAGTCGTTGTTTCCTTCATGACGCACGACTTCCAGCAGACACGACTGCAGAGTCAAAAGTTCGCATTCAAACTCGCGCTGTCGACTTCGGCCACTGCGAGGTTGGTGGACTTGACAATATCCACGAGGCTTCGAGAAAAGTTATGCCCCTGCACGGACTGAATCGCGCGAAAAAAGCCAAGCTCCAACACATTCATGTCGGGTGAGTTGGGGGGCTGATACACGAGACTAATCTCTTAGCCACCAGCAGCACAGGCGGCCACGATGTCTGAGTCCAAAGGCGCCACATGCGGACGGGCGTTGTCTTGTTGTATCATGATTCGTCGTGACTCGTGCTTTGGCCAGAGTGCCTTGATGGTTGGGATGACGTGGTCAATCAGCATGGCCTTGTAAACAGCATGCGTCACACTTACCGGTGTCATCACCATTGTCCCAGCCACTCTACGACGACTGGTTCGCTTGGCTGGGACCCACTCGGTAAACTGCCACATGCCGATCTTGCCGTCGAACCATTGATTCTTCTCATAGTCCCAACGTGGACGTGCGACAGCCGACAAGAACATGACCTTGATGATATGTCGTTTGGACTTGGCGGTTCTGTGGGGCGGTTCCTCGCCAGGTGCAAGGTAGAACGTCTTCTTGACGCAGGTGGCGAAAAACATCTTCTCATCAACATGCACGGTGTCCATCATGTCGCTAAAGTTGAATCCGCCAGCTGCGTTGGTTTGGACAGAGTCCAATGCCCACTTGAGACGTACGATCTTGTTGGCTTCCGTCAATGCTGGCTTCACCACACCCAAGTATTTGACGAAAACCCCTCGCTTGTAGTACCGATGCAAAGACGATCGCGATGTTCCCATCGCTGCTCCAACAGACCGGATCGTCGTACGTCGATTCTTGGGGATTTCCCGCAACCGATCGGCAACAGAGCGATGGAAAGCCTTTCGCCCTACGCGCGCCTTCATCCGTGACGTTGGGTCCTTGCACGGACGACGAGGGTCATTCAGATCCACTGAAGCACTTTTCCAGATCCGCTGCATAGTGCAGCGATGCACAGCAGAGTCAGCAGCAACCAGAGCGATTGCGCCATGAGCCAGTTTGCCACGGACCATGCGAGCAAGGAGGTGTTGGACTATGGATTCGTTTCTCAAAACCCGGACAGATGTAGTATAGTACAGTACTTGAAGTAGCTATCACGAGGAGGGGAAAGAGATGGATGCCAGAGGCATGTAGAAAAGGGAAAGGAAGAGAAAAGGGGTCGAGGAAGGTAACCTGGGGACAGGGATGCTAGGCCAAGCGTCCCGGCCATAATGAACACAAAGAGGAAGACGCGGGCTCGCAAAGAAGGAACAGAAGTGAGCAGCTAGAGCAAGAACAGGCTTATGGATGCCTGTGTTTGGTGGAGAAACCACTTGTGCCAGAGGCAGGAGGGGCGCAGGACGGGAGACACAGGACCCAGAGGGCTGGTGAGTTGACTGCCACCTCGTGACAGCAACTGTCAGCACGTGGGATTGAACAGATGACTTTCCAAACAAACGTAACATGTGAATTTGACAGAAACGTCCAAAAATGAACATCTAAATATATCAAAGGTAATCCATCATTTGAGAATGGAACCCCCGAATCGATTTGACGTTTCGACTTTCATACGCACATCACATGGGAACAGGCGTTGACCAACATTTCAGATTGATTGGTAACGCCGGCTCGCTCCATATTAGGAATGGGTGGGTCTATAACAAGTGGTCGAGAACTTTCTATTTTATTAAAAATATTAATATGAAGCAATATTTTACACTTAAGTTCTGTATCTGATTTGACCATTTTAAATAATTGTGTAACCGTTGCAACTGTCAATGTTACAATATTTAATGGTAGAGTTACCCGAAAAGTAATGTGAATCAAGGTATATTAATGGCAGAATCGAATTCACTGACAAATGCCAACTGAATTTCTTAGAATCTCAAATACAAGCACAAAAAGGGTTGTGGATGCTCTGGACTACTAAAGGTGTCCGTACGAACAACTGGACGATGTTCCACAGCTTTTGCGCACCTGTCTTGTTGTGTACATTACTAGTAATCATCACCTTGAAACTCGTACAAGGATAGTTGCGCATGAGTCAACGCTCCATGTCCAATACAACTCGTAACGTTATGGCATTACAGATTATGGGGCTTGTATACAAACCCGTTGGTCGTGCGACTGTCGGTGCCTGTTTTCGCCTCCCCTCGTACGTTTTTGCTGTCCACGGGCTTATGGCCCGTGTACCCCGGCAAGTTGTTCAAGTGATACAGTCGAAGATCCTCCTCTTTTCCTCGCGTCTGCTCGCCATCCCCTTGCGCAACTGCCGTGGGGTTGTACTTTGTCTGGGGGATAAACCCTTGGTACCGCGGAATGTGGAACGTGGCTTTGGTCGTGCCATCAAACAAGTCGGTCGTGGTCGATGCCATCCCATTCGTGCGACCGATATACGGCCTCGCCAGGGGTTCGCTGCCGTAAGTTCCAAAATCCAATTGGTGGCTGCTGGCCGGGGTGCCACCAGGGAGCATCTGCTTAGCCGCGACAAAGTCGAACCACCCCGCCTGCCCGCTGATTTTGATCGTCTGGTGCAACAAAAAGCCTAGGAAAATTACTCAAATGTCAAATTGCACATGTCCACGTCGAGAAACCAATCAGCATGGACGCACTTGCAAGGCGCGCGACCGCTTCTTGGAACACGTCCCATGAGATGAACCCATCCGGGCAGGCGTCGAACATATGAGCGTAAATCTCTAGAATGCGAGACGTGGGGGGTTTGCCGTACACTTGACGCAGCAGAGTCTTGACGTCGTCACGAGCCAGTCGCTTTAGCTTAAACAGGTCGCTGTCCGAAGGCGTTGGGTCCTGGTTGGGCACTGTGGCCAACTGGTCGAACGAGGCTGCATACACCGCCGCCGGCAGCGCTGCGATGCGTCGACCTTCGTCCTGAAAGTTCAAAAAGTCATTTTGATACAGCGTTTGGCCGAGAAAGGTCCTCGAATTCGCAATCTCGCGGCCCCGCGACGCTGGGCGAGCTGGGTTTTCGTAGTCATGCTTGGTGACGTGGCCAAAGTGGCTTCGTGTCACCGCCTCAAACGACGGGTTCACGATGCGAATGGCGGTGTTGGTAGCCTGGTTTTGAACAATGTTGGATCCCATCTGACTGAACTTTGTCGCGCGGGCGTCGTACGACTCGCCAGGCTTAAGCGACGGGCACTCTTGTCCCCCCCAAGACTTGAACCCTTTGTACCCCGACGACATGATAACCGAAAGCTGGCGATAGATGAACGAACCCACGAGATCAGAGCACTATTATTAGGTTCGTTGCATCGGTTTCACAAGGCAATACACAAACCAGTTACTATGCACTTTGAAGTACTACTCCTTAGTTGCACGATTGCAATAACTGTACTACGCGCCAGTTGAAAGCAAGACACATGGGTAAAGAAAGTAACAACTGTATTTCAGTACATGTATGTCGTGAAAGGTCACCGTTCTCACATTTCCACCGCCACGCGTCGCACTCAACCGGTACCGTACCCCGTCAGATATATATTTCACGGCAAAGTCAATGTGACGACCACTCTCACACCATCCGCTGTCCGATAACATAGTGCTGCAAGAATAATGGTTGGCAAGAATAATGGTTGTTTTCATGGAGACGACCCATTCAACAGTCTTTTTCTTTTGTCGCCGACATGTGTGGGTTATGCAAACTCTACTAGTATTTACGTGTGGTTATGTTTAATCCGTGTACTCGCACGTTTCGGGGAGGGTGCATCCGGAGCGGCGAATCACGACTTGGGCGGCCCAGTGGCCGGCTTCGACGGACTTTTGGATGGACTTGCCACGGGCCAACTGGGAGATGAAGCCACCGACGAAGGCGTCGCCGGCGCCGTTGGTATCGACGATTTCGCTCTGGTCAAGCGTGGGCACTTCGATGAGCTTGAGCTCGCCGTTGTGTACGACGATGGTGGGCTTGGCGCCTTGGGTGAAGATGACGGTGCGGCATCGCGCGCCAGACGCCTTGGGCAGTTGCGACAGGCGGAGCGCCACGATGGCGAGGTCGTCGCCCCAGCCATGCGCGTTACCGAATTCGGTGGCTTCGGCTTCATTGCCAAAGACAAAGTCGGCGTGGTGCATGGCAGCGAGCAACGGGTCTTTGAAGAACTGCGTGATGAACGGCGCCGACAAGTTGAGGAGGAACACCTTGTTCGAGAACGTCGCGTGCTCCGCGAGCTTCATGATTGCGTCCGGGCACACGGTCAAGTGGAACCCAGCCGAGTAGAAGAACTTGGCCTTGTTGATGATGTCCTTGGAGCGTTCGTCGTCCAAGTGCGCCAATTCAAACTTGTTGGCGGCAGACAAGTTGGCCACCAACGAGCGCTCGCCCTCCTTGTTCAAGCACACGGCGCACGTTCCCGTGGACACCTCGTGGTGCTCCATGTAGTGCACGTTCACGCCGTCCTTTTCGGCGCAGTCGCGCAGGACTTTGCCGTACGCGTCCTTGCCCACGCACCCGAAGAACGACGTGGCCTTGGCGCTGTGGCTCTTGAGCATCCACTGCGCGACGCGGATCGAGTTTTGGGTCGCGCCGCCGGCGATGAATTCGGCTTGGAAGTCCTTGGTGATTTCGTCGTACATGGGCAAGTGCTCGTCGCCGGCCAAGATGGCGTTGTCCATCTTGAGCTTGTACTTGGCCAAGAATTCGTCCGACACGGACGCGCTGATGTCCAGAAGCGGATTGCCGAGGCCGACGATGGAGTGGTCCAAGATGCTGCTCATGTTGTTCGACGGGCGTGTAAAGTTGGGGAATGAATAATAAAATATGCCGTCACCATTGGACGAGGGATGCATAAGACGCACTTCAATTCGACGACCTCCAAGATCTCACGCGGCCCTGGGCTAGGTTCTCATGCACATTATACTAACTATTTGTATGTAAAGCAGTGCAAACTGAGTTTCTCCATATGAAATGTATCTTGAAAATCGTCCTACTCCTGAACCTTAATATGAAAGATTGTATTGAATTCGGTATGCTCCACAACTTGACTAAAGTCATCCAGCCATCCATCACCCGTTCTTTCCTGCATTCTGATTGGTCCATGGAGAGGCTTCCACGGGGGTTCCAGTTGACCAATCGCAATCGACCCCCAAATTAGCCGCACATCCGACGGACAACCATGGCGACCCAACGCCCCAAGCGCAGTGAGATCACGGAGATCAACCTGAACGACGACGAGGCGGAAGTGGCTCCGTTGGCTCCAAACGGGCCTTCATCCTCAGCGGGAGCGTCGCGGCGACAACAGGGAAACAGCGTCTTCGGCGACATTGTCACAAAGTTCATGTGCGTCGTGTTCGTTGTCGTGGCGTCTCTGGGACTGCACGAGGTGCGCTTCTGGCACGTGTTGCTGTATTCGTCACGTGCCAACCGCCCGCTTGTGAACCTTGGCATCTTCTTCTGCACGGCCGTGGTCCTCCTCGGGTCGTACTTGGAGTACTACCGCGCCATCTACCTTGGCGAGACCCTCGAATACAAGAAAGCACAATCCACGACCCACGCCATTTTGGCGTCGATGGTTCTGGCTGGCATCAGGTACATTTTTTCGTGTATGCATGATGTCTAACCATGGATTCCTCGTTAGTTTCTCCATCGGACTCTGGCCAGTGTGGCACTGGATGACTGTGCCCATCCTGTTCATGTGGTTCTGGGGCTTGATCGTGCCTTTAGTGGTGGTGCTGCCGCCAACAGCACAAAAAGTCGTGTTTGCCGGCGTGTACATCTACTTTATGCACTCGTATTTGTCGACATTTATCCTGTAAATTGTTAACGCATACCAACATGATACATCTGATGGTTTAGCGGCTCAAAAGCACAACCTCATATCGTGCAAAACTTGTGTGCTGAGGACTTGGGAGTGTACGTTGTCACAGGTTGGCTGGTCTCGTTCCCTCCACGTGTCGCAACGGCAGTAACGACAGTCGCAGTAGGCCGTTGACGTGCAAGTCTTCGACCAAGACATGCACGAGCGCAGGTTGCGCAAAATTTCCTTCGACTCGGTGGCCGTAAACATAAAATCGTTCGTCGCCTGTGACACAGTTGCAGGCCAACTTGGCCAAGTCGTCCACCAGGACTTGGCCACGACGACATACCCGAGATCCCACAGCCATCCCGACCCGAGACGTGTACAGTACACTATATTCCGGTGAATCTCTTGCCTCTATGGTACTGGCCACTAAGACCAAATGCATCGCAAGTAGTCGTGTATTGCATTAATGGAGACAGCAATGGACTTCGTCTGGGGTTGTCAGGTTTGTGGACGGGAGGATTGACCTTTCGCCGACTCTGTCGTTGAACAGCACTGTAACAAAATTGGCTCCTACTACGAGCCCTATGACGATGGTGTAGGCCCATACAAAGCAGCTGACTTCGTTGACTACAAATGGGACGTTCCACGATAGCAACGTCCATAGATCCCTACGGCCATAACGTGAGCCCGGGGTATGCGAAAGGCACTCTTGCTGGTTGGTGTCATAATACGCTTGGAACAATACATGATTGACCTATAAAACCATTACGATACTAGTATAACTTCCACCTCGAAACGGTTAGGACGACGTCGGTTACTCATAAAAGTGGGTGGATGTCGCTGAATGTATCGTTTCTCGTTGGCGTTGTCGTGTTGATTGAGTACGGTCAAGGAGTGCAATCTTCGTTTGACGCCCACTCAAGCACCGAGTACGGTGTCGATGGCAAGAGTACTGTTTACGCTGGCTACACAAGTCCGTTCATGGCGTCCTTTGTCCTTGACCTGCGTGGGGTCATTTGGTTGTGCTGTCGGGTTTGTTCTGGTACGTGGTATTTGTGTTGGTACTAGCTGCCACATTCAGCGTTGACACGACGCGTGTGACCAAGATGGCGGTGTGGTCCACCCTGCCCAACGTAAGCCATCACGTGGTGCACGCATTGGTCGTCCAAGCGATCGCAAGCGTTCCTTATAGCATTCTGGACAACGAGTAGCTCGTCGTCTGCCCTCCTTCGAAGTCCGTATTACGTCTTGCGGATCCCCCTCCCCGACCGTATTCGATGTGTCCTTGTCAGTTGGGTGGTTATGTGTGTGTTACGTTGTGTCCAAGCATGCCCTGTCCATCCGTTTCCCATGGATGCTTGTGGTTGGCCCTGCCCTTGTTGATTGACTAGTTTATCGAGTATTTCACGGGCACATGGGGGTTATTTGTCTGCTTTAGCGCGCACGCCCTGGACGATATCAGCGCGAAATCGATCAAACCGTCTCGGGCGTCGCATTTCGGTGTGTGGTCGTATCACCCCCTACCCATCATCGAGCCCAAGTTTGTACTAAACGAACTCAGCTAGTTTATTTATGCCGCCTTGACCTTGGTGGGGTGTTAACTCGGCCAAAGCTGGCGTTGTGGTTTCTTGCCAAGCACAACAAAGTTGGGGCCCCCTTCGAGCCCAACTCGACAGTGTTGTTTCCATTTGAAGGTTCACGGACTGAATGGCGACGTTGAGAAGATCATGCTGCCGTCTGGCCCCTCCGGCAAGGCCTTTGCATCGCCAGAGTGCGTGTGGAACTTGGGGTTTGTGCTTGTGGACGGCGTGTTCCTCTTTCACTTTACTCACGTACCCAAGCTCGCAGTGAATCTCGCCGTTCAAACCGAATACTCTTACACGTACCGGTACGAATACGCCATGACAAGGCCAAACGAAGTCAATTCACATCTGATGCACTACCTCCGCGAAGACATCAAGTCCATAGGTGCCCTTAATCGACTGTCCCTCGTCGCTGTGCGTCAGCTGTCATCCACAGAAGGCACGCAGCAACGCGTGAAGATGTATGAGGCCGTGACCAGGAAGCTCATGCGTGATACGAGCGTCGTCTAACAAGACCACCAAGGTCAAGCCATACAGTAAATTTAATAAAGTGGGGTAGGACATCACCGAAAATGCCATGTACACTTGTCCAATATCATGCAAAGCCGAATGATTCGTCGTTTCACGAGCCCTATTTAGAACGAAAAGACAATCCATCATCATCCCTTTCGCCTCCACTTGCATGCAATCCTTCGACTCCCACTGGGCCGTTCGCGTAGTCACAGCCAAGGAGACAGCAGCACTGCCGCGAACTCCATCGCCTGCAACTCTCCCGTCGTTTGAATGCCCCAGACGAAGTTGGTTCTCATCGCTGCACGCAGTGTTCTCGTTTGCCACGGGCATTCTCGTCCTGTACGTGTACATTTCCGGATGCACTTCGTCGTTGCAGTCCCTCGTAGGGACACACTACGGCATCGACGGCACCAAGACGGTGTACGCCCAGTACGAAAGTCCGTACATGCTGGCCATGGTCCACGATGTCAAGCAATCGCCAATCAGTGTCGCAGCCGACCTCCGCCTCGCCATACTGACCGATGTTACATTTCCCACTGCGGTCGTGTACCTCGTACCAGCGATCTCTGGCGACGCCACGTATGCGTTTTCGACCACGGCGTGTGCCGTGGATGGAACGTTGGGGGAGATTCACACCCCGTCGGCCATTCTCGACTTTGTCGGTCGGGTGCTTCAGGGGCTAGAGGGGGCCTCAAACTTGCCCCGCGACGACGTCGTGGTGCTCATCGACTGCTCGTTCGACGCCATTTTAACGCAAGACTCGTCCACGTTCCGGGCGCATGTGGTGGATCCATCGCTCACGTACATTCTGACCATGACGACCGAAGCCCTGATTCTGCAGCGACCGCTGCTGCGGGAATCGACGATTGCGCTGCCAGTCTTTGTCGTCAACGTCACATTTGCTTCCATCAAACCAGTGCCCCTGATCATGCAAGTCCCAGGAACACACGCCTTCGCTCGTCCGTTGAACCAAACCCTCGACGTGCGGGCGGTGGTCGCCATCGGGGCCCCGTTCGTGCTCGGGGTGCCCTTCCAACCCATGTACATCGACGCCATCACGGAGACGTCCAAGTTTGTGGCACGCATTCCTCGCCCCGATGGCTCGTTCGAGGATGTGACGCTCATGGGCACCGACGGCGCGTACGTCCAAGCCGACACTGTGTTTGGGTGGTATTACTCGTACTGCTTTAACATTCCGTCGGACGCAGTCGTGAATCTGGCGTCTCAGCAATTCCTGGGCGTCCCCAACTCCAAGAACGCATACGCATGGGGGTATTTCATCGTGACCGTGTACCTTTGCGCCAGGGTTACGTTTCTGCTCGTCAGTGCTGCCGTCGTCGCGGTAGGCAGCACCAACTACCGTAGACATGTGGGATTGGTGCATACCCTACCGGACATTGCCCATCAGGTCACATCTGTCCTGATCGTGCATGCCTGCCTCAGTATCGGCAGCTGCCTCTTGGATCGGGGATGGGGGCTCTACGAATGGAGCGATGTGTCGGCGAAGCTGCGAACGAAGGCGAATCGCGCCGTGATCCCCCCTCCAGCGCATATTCGGTGCCTGCTTGTGAGCTGGGTGGTTGTAATTTGCCACGTCATGGCCAAGCGCTTGCGCATCTGCTTTAGCTTAACCGTGGTCGTGGTCGTGACCGTCGCCTTTGACGCGAATTTGACGCTGTTCAACGGGGAAGTATGGGGTCTCAACCCGACGTTTAGTCAGGAGTTTGTCCAGTCGACCAACATGGACAGCTTGATTCCGTCCCACCCTGGCCACTTGGACGTGTGGATGTATCACTCTTTGAAGTCAATGGATATTCGGTTTTTCTTAAACGAAGTCAGCGCATACATGTGGTCCACTTCGATGCTCCTGGCGGGTCAACTCGTGCTTGCGGTGGGCTTGCGCTGTGTGTCATCGCAATGGCAGTCGCAACGCATCCAGCCACAGGACTCGGGAACAGCGTTCATCTTGGAAGAGCGTTCCACTTCCGTCGACGTCTTTGGCTTGGGGTCGTCCTTTTCCAAGCGGGTGGTGGCGCCGGACGGGTCGATGTATGTCCCGGTTGAGTGGGCGTGGCACCTTGGCTACGTCGTGGTGGACCACACGTACTTGTTCAAGTTGCACGACATTCCAAAGTTGTTTTTGAACGTTCTGTTCGACGTCGACTCGTTCTACATCTATGGCTACCACATGAAGAACAACCAAGTGGACGTGGAGCTGACCCATTTCCATTGCCATGACTTTGCCAGCATCCGCAGCCTCCTTCGGCTTTCGCTGCGCCCGTTAAGTCAAGAATGGCCCGTGAACGAGGCGAAGGCGCATGTGCAGCTCTACGAACAGGCCAGCCGAAAACGGAATTCAACCTCGACCAAGTAACCAGCGTCAGTAACCCGCGTCTGGAATTCTCATTGGGGTTCTTTCTTGTAACGTTAATACTTCGAAGTATTACAAAGTTCTGTAACCGGAAAAGTGTAACCGCCGTTTGATTCGTACTTTAAAGCAACGGACTTAATTTGCACATACAGTATGATTCATTTTTACCTGCATGGGTGGCATGACATGCACAAGAAACGAACGAGAAAAACGCTTCATGGCGTGGCTATATGAGCATGGAGCCGACGTGGGTGCGTTGAGGATATCCTCCGACGTCTCAGGCAGCCGTGGTGTTGTTGCGACCCGTGAGATAGCCGAGAATGAAGTGACCATGACGATCCCATCGTCATTGTTCATATCCGAGCCAGCGGCGAAGGCAGACTCGACGTTGGGACCAATCTTTGCCACGCACGTCGACCTCTTCACGCGAGATGACCCTCTCCTCTCCACCTTCTTAACCTACCACATCTTCCTCCAGGAAGCGTCCTTCTTCCATCCGTACTTGGCCATATTGCCCCAACCCGAATCCATCTTGAATTGGTCCATGGAAGCCTTGGGCCAGTTGCAGCATCCGTACGAGCACTACTGCATGACGCTCGTGGTTGATGGCACGCTGTAGGAAGCTCGTGGACGTGGTCACGCGGCGCAACGACGAGATTCAAGCCTGGTACGACCGCATCACAAGCCGCCTCTTTCGCGTGAATCCGGTGCGTCGACTGTCTCGTTGCATTGTCCTCACAACACACGTAGGACTTGTTTCACCAAGACTCGTTTCCGTACCACACGTTTCGATTTGCGTGGCAAACTGTACAAGCTCGAACGTTTGGTTCGTCCAACCCACAGAACTCGTGGTAGCCATCCATTCATTGACTATCCACGTAGGCAGGAGGCTTCCGTGGACGGCTCTGGTGCCGTTTGCCGACTGCCTCAACCATGCCAACGTAGCCACCCGCTACGACTTTCGCGACGACGACCAGTGCTTTCGATGGCATTCCAGCCAGCGCCACGACAAGGACCAGCAGGTGTTCAACTCGTATGGTCGTCGTCCCAACCGTACAGACCTGTGGAATATGATGTCGAGATGTGTGTTCGTTTGGTTAAAGTTAGGTTCTATCGTGTGGCTAGAAACGTTGCTATTGGACTATGGGTTTGCGCTGCATGCGAATGAATGGGACTATGTGGACGTTGAGATTGACACGATGGACGACTTTTTGCTGCCAAAACCCGAGCGCCGCCGCCTCTTCCTCGCGGCGCATCTCATGCCGTTCCCATCACGCCTTCGCCTGTCGCCCGACACGACCTTGGACGAAGTCCTCCCGTACTTTCGATGTGCGTCGCTGGCGTCGGCCACTGCTGACACGTCCATCTTGTCACCGCAAGAACCGGCAGTGGAAGCTCTCGCGTTGACGCGCCTCAGAGATCAGCTACAAGCCCACTTGGCCTCATTTCCCACCACGTTGAGCCAAGACGCTGCCCTTCTCAACCACGACAGTGTCGCATGTGCCAACCATCGGACGGCACTCGAGTACCGGTGGCACCGCAAGCACATTTTGCAGCGGGTGCAAGACCTCGCCACGTTGCAATTGAAAGCGATCCAACAACAAGATGTTCCAGAATATAACTAGTTAGTACATAGGCTAGTCGGACGCTTTGATCACGTGGAGAAGGTCGTCGCGTGTCGCAGCAGACGCAAACCCCAGAAATCGTTTTTCTAGTAAACTCACAAATAACTTTAACTGATGAAATCATGACAAATACCTTGGTACGACTCGCCAGTGTTGCCCAGCACGTACAAAATATACGGTGGGTCTTCGGGCTTGCGGGCCATGAGGTCGGGAATTTCCTTGATGTCGCTCATCCCGTCAATCTATTGCAGTATTCAGTGGATATATATATATATATACATATATTTGTATATATACATATATTTGTATATATACATATATTTGTATATATACATATATTCGTATCAAAAGGTTGTAATCGTCAATCTATTGCAGCATTCAGTGGATATATATATATTCGTATCAAAAGGTAGTAATCGTCAATCTATTGCAGCATTCAGTGGATATATATACTCGTATCAAAAGGTTGTAATCGTTAATCTATTGCAGCATTCAGTGGATACTGTATATATATATATATATATATATATATATTCGTATTACAAGATTGTAACATTAAATTCATCATAAAGTCGATACGTACAATGAGTTGGCCGAGCGGTGGCAAACATGCGTCGACATCGTCGACGGATTTCCAAAACACAAAGCGAGAGCGCCGAAACGCCACACATAGCGGCTACAACACACCCACCAAATCATTAGCCGCATGAGAATATTTCCCAATGATATATATATATATATATATATATATATATAAAATTGAAAACTCGTGATGATATATATATATAGTATATACCTTCCACGTGCGATCGTGTTCCATCTTCACTTGCACCGTGCCCACCCAAAGCGCTTGCAGCTTGAGCCGACGACATGCCACAGCGTCCGCCACTTCCGCGCTCGTTCGAGTGGCAACATATTCCTTTCGTTGGTCATCATACGCCTACACATATGTACTTGTCAAACATCGATCGAATCCCTTTGTGTACTTGCAAACCGCCCATAGCTTTATGGCTACAACTATAGAGTGTAGTTGTAACCCTATATCTAGTACAAAAACATCTGCGTCAATCATCATATTGTATGTACCTGAATCAAATCCGTGTCAGTAGGCAACGACGAAATGAAATTCCACAGCACGTTGCGGGCCGTGTTACTCGGCGGTCGGTCTTCGCGCAGCCCCGCCACAAACTACAACATAAAGGATGGGAATGATGATCTGTAGATCGTACAATGCGACGAGGTTCGTCTGCTGTAGGTCGTACAATGCGACGAGGGGGTACAACGTACTTCAAGGATACCAGCGACCAGAATGATGTACCTAGCCTGGACGATCGAGAACAAGATCGCGCCGCCGACGCACGCGGCAAACACTGTCGCAGTTTTCCACGGATGCGTCCAGTTGAACAGGTTTTGCGTGCACACAACCGTGGCGCAGACCCGTCCAACGGCATTTTGCACCATCGTGGTCGTATCTTTGGCCTTCCAGAACGCCCCAAACAGCGTTGTGCCCAGCGTCGCCGCCTTGGCGTCCTTCTCTGCCAGCGCATCCCGCACATACGTCGACCACTTCTTGTCTGCCGGCCTCGCCGCCCCGTCCGGCTGCTTGTGGGGGGTAGGGTTGGGATCTGGCAATTGCACTTTGAGCCGAACCTACGCCAAGAGAGCGAGTCATGTCTTGTGTTCATTAGATACAGTACTGGCAAATCGCATCGTCATATGCTAGAGACATATCGTCGTCGTACCGTCAACGATGTAGATGATGATGTAGACAATGACGAGTTAGTAGAATTGCTGTGACAGAGCACGAGCGGCAATGTCAGCGTGGCTTCGTCCGCGTGAATGAACTGAACGAGGGGCAACGGCGTGGTTGACCCGAGCACCGTGTCGCACACACCAGCGTCGTTGGTTTCCACCACATCGAACCGCAAGAGTCCTGGGAATGCCGTCCACGGCACGAGCAGCTCGCGGCCGTTATCAAAGTGCTTGGCGGCTTGCAGCAGCGGGTATACGAGGGTATGGTAGTCTGTGGTGGGTTTGCAATTGCGCTGCTGCTGCGCTTGGGGCCAAGATACATGGACATTGCGAAACACGTGCTCCTTCTTTGGGGGGGCGTTGGGTCGGAAGAGTCCGGGGGGCGCCAGATGGGACACGACGTTCGATCCGTCTCGCCACGTCGGGCGCGCCGTGTGGCGGACGGCGTGCGTGCGCCCAACAAGGTATTCGTCTCCGCCAGACGAGATCAGCCCTAGATCATCATTAGTATACGATGGTTAGTTAGAGGCAAAATATGAACGACGAAATAGTTACCAATACTATCAAACGGGTGTATTGTTGTATTCAATATATTGAAAGTACACAAATATATCAAGGGATAAATAGAATCATCATCATGTGTTGTGGCAACACACACAACTCCGAACAAGCCAAGCAAACTAGAATATATATATATATATTTAGATATATATCGATCGATAAACGACTCGCAAGTAGCCAAATAAACTATAATTTATATATATATATATATGTACATAAACGATTCGCAAGAAGTCAACCAAACACAATATTATATACATATATATCATATACATATATATAAATAAACGACTCGCAAGAAGCCAAACATACACGATATATATATATATATATATATACATACAACCGTCGCATACGAATGTATATATTGTGCTTATTCTAAACTGGAGCGACATGGAGAATGAATCGACACAACCAAATGATGTACAGAAGATTCGGCAGAATTATTTAGCCAATCAGATTGCAGGAAACCACAATCAACGTCAAATTAGTGTGAGACTTCAATTAGTGTAATACCAATCACCACAAGACACGTTTTGACATACAAAATTGCGTACAAAGAAGATATCGATCATCGATAGATTTGGCGAATCAGCACAAAAGTAGTCCAAATTTAAAGTATCGATCGATAGATTTGGCGAATCAGCACAAAAGTACTCCAAGTTTTGGGTAAAAGAAAGACAATATCCACACGATACCCGAGTCGTCTTGGTCCGAGTCGTTGGGGATGTACACAACGCGAACAAACACGTACGGGACGGACGAGGACGATGCCGAGTCTGTTGGCGGGAGCTCCGCGTCCACAACAGCCGCCAACAACGTCGCAACCGGGCGGAACAGCCGGGTGCCTTCCATCACGTCGTCATCGTAGGCGGCCCACTGGAGGGCGTACGCGCCTGTCACGCGCTGCCACAGCGTATGCAGCATGTACGCAATCGCTAGCGCAAACCCAAACACAGGCATGTGCTCGGCATCGACGAACAGACACGCGGCCGCGAAGAGGATGAGGACAGCGCCAGAGTGCACGGGGCGCTTCCATGTGATGATGGCCAGGTACTGCTGCTCGAGCCACGGCGCTAGCCTAAGCACTCGCGCGAGGCGGTCCATGTTGGTCTTGAGTGTTTCAACAGAAAAGTCCTTTTCTTCGCGACCTTGGAGCACCATCCGTTGCTTGGGGACGTACAGCAGCAGCTTTTGCTTTGCTTCGGCGTAATGAAGGGTGAGCCGGGCGTGGCCGACCACGTTCGCCTTGAGTTTGAGCGGAAACGACGTCTTGGGGCAATTAAACTGCGACGACGCGTGAAACGATTCGAGTAGTGGACACCACGTCACACATGAGCGCACCACGTCATCGGCGTCCATTTGGAGCAACTCAAAGAGCAGCACGGTCATGGACCCCACGGCCACGTTTGTTGCCAAGTCCACCACCTATCGATGTACACTTTCTTTATATTTCACTGCATAAAAGCCTAAATAGGTAGATAGGTATTGAACCTCCAATTGGAACGCCGTGTCGCGGTTGGTAATGTCGAAGCACGTTCGGTCGTCGAACACTGGATTAGCGCTCTTGTACACTTCTTTGGTCTCGTGTCGCATGCCGTCGACGCTCAGTCGGCAGTACGTATCGCCTTCAAACACGTTGGCCGCGTGCACGTTATCGCAGGGTTTGCAATACTTGGAGCATACGTGGACGCCTTGCAGGTTCACGTACAGCTTGCCAAAACTGGGTAAGCCTGTTCGACTTGGCTGGACCACAAGGTACCCACTCGAGCCATCTTTGGGCGATACCACGTAGCGAACTCTACGAAACTCGAGTTAGGAACTAACTGATGGCAAAAAATCACATAAACAGGAGGATGGAAGCGAACCTCGTCACAGCGTCGACGCTTTCGTGATCGTGGCCGTCGTGTTCTTCGTCGTTGTTATTCCGTGATGGCGTAGCGTGGTGGTGTGGACATGGGAGGTTGGTGTTGGCGAGCATCATACACGACTTGTGCACGTCGATGCCGCAGCTTTCGCAGCGATACCCCCACTGGGTCATGGTCGTACTCACGATCACTCTGTCGCATACGTCGCACGAAAGGAGACACATGCCGACGGTTTTCAGCGAGTGCACTCGGAACTTGTGGTCGCGCACGTCGGCAGGTTCGGACGACAGCTGCAGGCGGCGGGGGCGGGTGGGTTGGGGGTCGAATTGCATGGTAAAGAAAACACGAGCGTGTTGGTTCGTGGGTTTGGAGGACACTGACGAAGGAGAGATGAGGGTGAACCATCTCGAGACAGAAATGCCAGGGTGCTGGAGCAAGGGCGAGGTGCTAACCAGCGAACTCGCGAGCAGGTCGTGTGTGAACATGTAGTTGTCGTTCCAGACTTGGACTTCAAGGGCCGGTACGGGGTTGTTGGAGCTGTTGCACCGGTGCTGCAGACGCATCTCGTTGGCGTGGGCATCGAGCCACACTGGGTTCTTGCCGCCAGACATGGCGGCTTTGGTTTGGACCGGTTCATTCCATCTGCATGTCGTTGTTCTTAGGAAGAGGTGGGTAGAGGGAGAGGTGACGTACGGCAAGAGCGCGAGCCGGACGTACGGATCTTGGCGGCCAACCCACCGCACGCTGGGCAAGTCCACGGCCTTCTCGGCGACGATCTTGAACACCCCCGACTGATTCGGTTCCACCTGTCGGCGGTAGGCGAGGTAGGCGTCGCGGCTTTGAATGGATGGGTTCTTCGCGACAAATGACGCTGCAAACGTGAGACATGACTGGTCGCATACGATGCCGCTGGGACGAAACTCAAACAAGGCCGATGTGCTTTCGTCTGAAGAACGAAGTGTGTGGATTGAGACTACGAGAAGGATGAGGGGTATACACCTGTCCAGAGCCCATCGCAGAGATCACATTTGGTGTCCTTGGAGGACGATAGCGAAGGCACGATTTCATTACGCTCAAGCATCCCAGCGATATCGTTGTTGCGTTGAAGCTTGGTTGCCACGTCTGTGTCCGACGATTGGCTGCGGCTACGTCCGTGGGGGCTCTTCTCAGCAGGCCGCAACTCCTTTGCTAGTCATGTACGGCTTAATCGCTAGGATGAGATATAGACTCCCTTACGCACCTGTGGCATCCACATTCAAGCCCACAGTCGACCGCTTCCGTAGTGTCATCGTCAGGTTTCCGCTTAAAGGCGTCAAAATGGATCGAACACCAGAGTGATGGTAGGTTTGTATCACATATTTTTTTTTCTTTTTTTCCGACTCAAATCCCACTTATTTATATCATTTTGCGATTTGATACTTTATCGGTTTACAATACCGGTTAATGTCGTCGCCATGCACTTCTGGCAATCATACTCCAAAGCCACTGTCAATGGAAGTGCGATGTCTCTGTGGGGCGTCCTTGACGGAGCGAGATGCCGCGTTTGCTGTGAGTAGCGGCAGCCGCATCCGCGTGTACTCCTCAAGCGGCCTTGTTCTCTTGCACGAGTTCTCGTCCATCCACGGTTGTGTGCTCAACATGCAGCATACGACTTTTTGCGATGCGATTGTCACACTCGAGACCAAAGTCGGAGACGACAACATGGGGGATTGCTACTTGTGCGTGTACCACGACTGGCGCGCCGTGTCCTCCTCTGACATATCGACACCACCCGCCGAAGAAAGGACGGCACCATCGTTCGTTCGTGCGTATACGTTGCCGCTGGCGATTGCCGACCCCCATTCCATCCGTCTCTCGGTGTGCAGCTTCTCCGGGCGTGTCGCCGTGGCCACTCCCGATGGATTCGGTGTCAACATCTGGCAGACCAGCGACGGCTTCTTCGAGCACGTGATGGAGGTTAAAGTTGCCGGTCCGGGCCTGGCGTTCATCGCCGTGCATGGCGCGCATCTAGCTGTCGCGACTGCCACGGAAATCCGCGTCATGGAGATCCAAGTGATCACCGAAGAAGGCTCTCCTTCTTCCACTGGCACGTCCACCTCCTCCAAGTCCCAGTATCCGTCGCCATTGTCGTCAGACAGAGCTCGACCACCCCTGCCACACGAGCGCAAGAAGGAGCTAATCTACAACACGCTAGAAAAGGATGTCATTCCCGTACTCCACATCCCCATTCCCGGCACCGCCGAGTCTTCTTCCGCCACGTCCGTCGGCCAAAGCGGCAGCCACATTCGCATCTTGGGCCAACGCGAGGCGCAGCTCGAAGCATTCAACTTGGCTGGGCTTGTCCAGGCCACGGATGTCCGTGTCAACGCTGCCATGTCGTACGTCGTTCGTCCAGAACTTCGACTACCACAAGTACTGAGTGTGGCATAGGTACCTCCGCTGCCACGTCCAAGTACTCCTTCGGCGCTTCGTCCCCCCCAACCACACCATTTCAGGGCTGCATTTTGTGCCTGAAACGATTGACCATCGCGCCCAGAGCCGCAGCTACACCCGCCTCCTCGTCACGACCCATGCTTCCGAAGCCATTCTGTACTACTTTCTCGCCGGACACGTTGATACAACACGCGATGCCATGGCGAAAAAGGTACCAGTCAACACCTTCTTGTGTCGTTTTCACAGCCATCCCCTCGTATCTCGTTTGCTTTCGTGATCCAATGTCAAAACCATCGTTCGTTCATTATTCAATCATGATGAACGAACTTCCCTGTTTGGATTGGGATGGTAGATCTTGCAACGAGATGCAAACCCGTTGCGGGGGATCGTGGAGCCCATCCAAATCTCCGATCGGCCGATCCCATCGCCGTCGTCCTCTGTGGCGGCGGCTGCGGCGGGTTCATCCCCGGTCCACGGCGGCCGACACACCAACTCCGTCGTCGAGTCGAGACGTGTGGTCATGTACTACAAATTCCTCGCCCCGGCGTCGTCCGTGACCGCCAACAGCTCGTTTCTGTTTGCAGCGACGGCCGCGGGCGTCGAAGTGTGGTCGCTGTGGAGCCCCTGTCACCACGTCGCAGCCAAGAAAGCGCTCGATGCGACGTTTGTGCCCGAGCCCACGCAGCCGCAGCTGTTGGGGGTCCATCCGTTGTCGACCCCAGCTGCCGCCATCGTCGCATTGGACGGACATGTGATCGTCCTCACAACACCCGCGACGCGCCATCAGCTGGCCCAAAGCGCGCTTGTCGCCACGATCAAGTCGCACGACGTTCCGTTTGAGATGCGGGGGTTGGTACGGCCGCCGTACTCGCCCCCCTTGGCGGGGGGAACCGTGCTCGTGTACCCCCAAAGTCCGCCGTCGTGCATGTTTCAAACGCTCAAAGTACGTATGTACGTCCAAGGAATGTCCATATCGTATTGTCCTTTTACCCAAAATTTGGACTTTTGTGCTGATTCGCCAAATCTGTCGATCATCGATTCCTGGCTTTTGTAAGTAAAGTTCGTCCAGTCTCACACTAATTTCAGTCACACACACTAATTCGATGTTGCATTGGTCGAAGAGTGAGTATGATTGGCTACTTGATTAGTGTTCTGGGTTTTGATTGGTCGATATATCGATTGTCTGCCGATTTCGTGCTGCTCATTAGATTGAGAACCCCACTCGAATCTCGAATCGACTTGACAATAATACCAATATAGTATGTGACATGGTACACAGAATTGACAAAGGAAAACGTATAGGCCAAAACAAGTGGTGACACCAATCACCCCAACCACGTGACTCGCGCACAACTGGATCTGCTCTTGAGTTTATTTTCACTGTACCGGTTCCGCGCCGACGTTGGGCTCGATGCATTGCAAACCGCGTCGCATTCGCGCAAAGTAACCCTGGCGATTCAACTGGAAACCAAACTGTACGACTCTCTCGCCCGCAACTGCGCCGCCCACATCGCCCACCTGTACACGACGCCCGCGTTTCGAGACTTGAACCGCGCCGCATTGCTGTACGTGGCGTCCAACGTCAGCGCCAGAGACGTCCTCCTTCGATTCCGATCCTTGGATGAAGGCCTTAACGACGGCGTCCGTCCCGACGTGATCGACGCCACGGCCGTGTACTTGGAGGCGTTCCTGTTCCCAACCAAAGACCCCTCCATGTACTTGGCTCCACCCGTCGCGGCTTTCTCCGTGGGGGCCGTCCAAGGCAGCAACGACCACGAATTCACGGGCGTAGTTCTCAGGCATTATGGGGACCACGCCCCCGAGCAACTGTCGCGTCTGGCCATCGACTCGTCGCTCCCGTGGACGCTGCTCGACATTGACTATTGTTTGGCCAAACTGCAGTTTGCACAAAACGTGCTGATTCGCATGGGGGTGCTGGTGCTGCTAGTGCGGGCGCACAACATGCCGGACCAGTTGCCAGCGTTCTTGGCGGCCAAGGAAGCGGCGGCCGACACGCTCTCGTCCTCGACGGACGTCGTCCACGACTACAGTTATGCGTCCATCGCTTCTCGCATTGAATGGCTCACAGAAAACTACCCCGATCCACTCATTCACTTGTGTGTGACCCACCCGGAACTGCTGGTCGTTCAACAACAGCCACCAACCATTCCACTAGTAGTACCGACTTCACCGTCGACCACCTCCAGTACCAGGCTGCCCACTTTGCAGCAATCCGTGCTCGCCCGTGGCCTCTTGGACAAAGCGCCGGCCAAGTGCCTCAGTGCGCTGGAGCTCATCTTTCACAGTGCCTTGGGCCATCAAAACGGCATCGGCACCACCATCGCGTTCTGTCTGGGGGTGTTAGGCGAGCATGGAGATGCGGTGGGACAGCGAGTATCGTCGCAGCTTGCGAAGGACGACTCGATGGCCGTTGGATGTTGTTTTCACACGTCGGAAGTGTACGTGCTGTGCGCCGTGCACTTTATGCTGTTGCACTTGATCAAGCACCCGACCCCCGACGCCGCGGCCCTGCTGCCGTACTTGAGCTTGGAGTTCGTGCGCTTGTGTCTCCGATTGAGTCTGTCGTCGTCCATCAAGTGCAAAGCCATGCTGTCCCACGCGCTGGCCTCCAAGTCCACGCTCCTTCCAAAGAACCTCTCGCCGCTGCCGTCGTATGTTGTGCCGTTCATAACCGCCCTTGTTGGCTCCCCCAAAACCTCCCACATCGCCCAAGCACTGCATCAATTGTACCTCTTGGCCTGTCATATGGTGGCCTCCACAGTCGACGCCGACACTGCCCTCGGTTCCATCCTCTTGTCGGATGACTACAAAAATCAAGACGACAGCCCAACACTACGGACCCTCATGAAGCTTCTGCTGTTTCCTCGCGTTCACAAGTACCTACCTACCTACCTGCATGATCTGTGTGAGTTGAATGAACGTAGCTCACACACCAATAGATTTGACGACGGTTTGGCCATCATGAAAGCATCCCCAACCTACCACGCGTACCTGCTGCCGTATGCCGTCGCCAACAGCGCGTCGTTGGACGAATGGAAGGCATTTCTTCACGTGGTGCTGGATCTTTGTAACTCGACTTGTGACAACGTACGTCCAAAATCCACATATTGTGGGCCGAATTGAGTAACTATGTGCGTGCTACTTCGTCATGTACTTCAGGGAAAAGTGCTGGTCCAAACGGCGTTGGATCATATGGCAGTGACGTTATCCCCTCAAGATTTGCTGGCGATTCTACCCGACGACGCAGACGTGGGGTTGTTTCTGGATGCGTTGGCCCGCGCCGTGCGGTTGCACGACAGTGGTGACGTCCCAGGAACTACGGACTGATATGTGAACTATACAAAGCATTCCCCAAGCTTTACTCAATAGGATAACACGTGCGTAATGACAAGAGTCTTCGGTTAAATCTAATATTTTCTTAATAGATAGGAGGGTGTAGAAGAGAGATAGTGCTTTTGTTTAGCTCGTGGTTTCTTCGGCCAGCGTCGCCACGCAAAACACGCTGTACAGGCCCATCAAGAACACCCCAAACCACTTGGTCAGGGACACGCGATGGGTGTGCTGGACCTGCCCCCCCACGACCAGAAGCGACACGAGGCACACCAATAGGATGCAAAAGCCGCTGCGGAGCGTGCTTTTCTCCGAGACGGACCACAGCGCCACCGTGCTTTCCTTGGACCGAAAACACCCGAGCAGCAACGACAGCCCACCGCCGACGAGGGTGTTGAAGATGGGGCCGGCGATGCACGCGGCGGAAGCCATCTGGACATGGCCTTGGCGCGCCAACGTCGCGTTGCCAAAGAAATCGCCCATCGAGTTGCCCCACGCCAGCACCAAAATGCCCAGAGTCCCCCCCGAGATGCTCAAAGTCACCCCAAGCACGTGCAAGATGGCGACAATTTCATGACCCACGAGGAACACCCACATGGAAGACGTCATCAACGCCAAGGCCATGCCGACCAAGTGGACAGAGGATGACCGCCGCGTCTCCGCCGACAGCAATGCTGCCACGAACGCAAGGCCCAAGCCAGTTGCTGCGACCCCCATCACGAGTTCGTGTGAAACGGCCACGACGCGGTATACAACGTACAACACAAATAGCGGAATGCAAAACGCCCAGCATACCACGTCCACGCGCGATAAACAGGCACGAGGATCATGATCCATAGACGCGTGGGTCAACAAGGGCACGGTGACGTGGCGAGCCCAGAACACTGGAAATGCCACCACAGCGATGCACCTGCTCACCAACGTAGCATCGTTCCAGCCCGTCACGACGGCCAAGTAGCCACAAACACTGGCGCGATGGCTTGGACTGGTGACGGTGTCGTCGGCATCTCGTTCGCCTTCGCTTGACTCGTCGAAGGACATATCCACGTCTGATGAAGGAGCTGTGGAGACAGTCGACGACGGGGAGTCCAACGCCACTTCGGCGTACGTGGGCGGGTACTCGACCCCTTGCGAGGGGGTTTCTACGCCTTTCACTGATTTGTCTGGCCGAGGTAGGCCGCCTTGCTCCAGCATGGCTGGGCCTACAACGGGGGGCGTCGTAGGCTTGGTTTCAGCGGGACTGGGCTTTTCAACGGGATCGGCGGCCTCCGCTTCGTTGGATAAAGTTTCGTCGGTGGAGTGCTGCATCCGTACGACGGACACTGTGTACAAGGCGTACAGCCCCAACGCCATCAACGAGACTTGGACGGTGACGTATCCCACGCGGTATACTGCAATGAGACCAGCCAGCGCCACCAGATAGAACGCCACGTCACGCATGAATGGCCGCTTGTTGATGTGCGCGCCATTGGACAGGAACGCGAGGTACCCGAGGGTGAAGCATGACACAACAAGGCCACTGCCCAGGAGACCACCCACGCCAAAACCAGCGTGTTTGCTGTGTCCAGAGAAAGACGCGATAGCAGAGATCAAATCCGGCATGCCGTTGGCAAATGCCAACAACGTCGCGCCCGCTACCGATGGGTCCATCTTCGTGGCCGACGCAATGTACGTGACGGCGGGGACGAGAAAGCGGCTCGTTGTGTCTGCGACGATATAGAACATGAGGCAAAGCATGACACACAGCAGCAACACGGATGCCTGCGGATGCGCGTGCATGTTGCAATAGTGGAACGATAGCGCGTCGACCGATGAGACGCGGGTGGCGTTGGCGCATGAACATCGATGGATGGCGGGAACGTTGGCGAACTGGCTTCGCCCGCAGCCGTCGGGGAAGACGAAGGCGGCAGTGTGTGCCATTGCGACGGAGCCAGCAACGACAAGGACGAGCACCAGCCGCGTGAGCATTGGAGTTGGCATTTCTGACCCACAAATGCGCAAGGTGTCCAATGCCACGGCCAATCACATGGTGAGTCAGGGCATTCTCACGACTGGATTGGCTGAAATGTTTTTGAAATGCATTGCACCACCGCTTCTACAGTCATCATATGTTCGGATTCTGTAATTCTCACTGTCAAGTTTGATGTACTAACGTAATGTAAGATATATTAATAATACTAATACTAGTATGAGACACACATATGGTGCACGTAAGTACTAGTACTCCAGTGTAAACTACTACGTGTAATACGTAATACTACGTAGTACTTAAGAGTACCCACTTTTCACGAAAATCTCTTATTGCTACTAGTATTTCGTTTTCATTTCTCAAAATTTTAGCAAATACTTAAAGTAGAAACGTAGAATCGAGAGATCTTAAAGTGGTGAAGACATTTTATGTCTCAGCTGCTGAGTGAAATGTATTCAGGCCCAGTTCGAAGTACTGAATTTCCGGAGACTTGGCCAATCAAATCACTCCGAGTCGCCGAGATATTTTTGCTTTTGGCCCGGACGTCAAATACCTCATCTTAATACAAGTAACGTTAGTCGTTTTCGGGCACCCTACACACCGAATAATGAAATATATCGAGGTAATTCGACTAATAAGCGTTGAGTAAAAATTTAATGTCCAGAGTCAATCAGTGCTTCGCACGCCTTTTTGACACTTTTGGTCAATCTACTTCGAACTGGCCGTGACTAACTGTAAGTTTGGATTTCAACGAAGGTTGGTTGAATTTTATCGCTGGTGTGGTGAAATATAAATGTGGAGTTTGAGGTTGCCACTAAAAAATACTAGTACATAGTGGTGGTCGAAATATACGGTAATGTTATCGGTAGTCTGGTGAAATATACTAATGTTAATAGTAGAGTGCACAATGTAGTAGTACTACGTACTAGTAGTACTTACTTCGAAACTTCGAAGTACTTGAAGTGTTCGCCCATTACTAACGCATATATGATCAGATCTATCATTGAGTGTGAGTTTTATACCAAAGAAATCAATGGAAATGTTTCATACGGCTGACCAGTAAATGTCGACAGTAATTCAGAGAAAGTGGGGGTTCGAATTGTCGACAGTAAGGTAATACAAGTACCGTACTGTACTACACCTTTTTGCGTATTTCGCTTAGCTTGCAGTATATTTCACGAGTATAATTCGGTTATCTCCATTTATTTCCGGACTATCCACGACCCTTTCAACTTTATTAAAAATATTAATATGTTTCTACAGTTTTCATTTTAATGAAGCATTATTTTACACTTAAGTTCTGTATTTGATTTGACCATTTTAAGTAGTTGTGTAACCGTTACAACTCAAGGTTACAATATATAATGTTATGCGATTTTTCATGCGACATATGCAGGGTATTTCGACGATTACTCGAAAAGTAAAGTGAATCAAGGTATTAATATTCTACTGTAAACATCCCAAAACCCC